AATGATAACAGGAAGCAACACAAAAAGTATCTGAATCCACATTAAAGACTTCCAGTTTACTTAAATTCTGCTGTTATCCCTCTTTCAGAGGTTGCAATCATGAAATTCAAGTGACAGTCTTGCAGCTCCAAACAAGCCCCTACAGACCACAGAAGCAGGGCAAAGTTCAGCCACATAACTTCCAGCAATGCAGCTAAAATGACAGAAAAGTGTTTTTGCATGTGTGCATGAAAACTGATTAGTAAGTATACCCCACACAAGTAGCAGCTCATTCCCAATTCACCTCTAATTTTTACTATCTGAAGACTTTTCTGAGCCCCAACAGCAGCAATCTGTTCATAAGCATCCTGAAGGGAGAAAAACAGTGTGTTCAACATCGAATGTGGAGAAGAAACAAAGTGTTAGCAGGCAGCAGACTGCTGTGATGAAGCAGGAGCTGCTGTAGAAAGCAGCACTGATTACAATGAAGATGAAGGATGTGGAAAACTTGTCGCCTCTGGTTGGCTCTGGGGAGAGCAGGCTGCTTACTCACTTCCACGGGCTGCACAGTTTTTCTGTCTGAATATTTTTTTTAATTTTTCGAAATGTGGAGCATCCTTCAAACTGTGACACATGGATGAGAGAGCCAGAGGTAACACCACAGCACATCTCCAAAACAGCAGGCACGTAAAGTGGTAAAAGATGTGAAAATGATCCTGTGCCGGGTTTTTCCTCCCCTTTTTAATCACACACATCACCGATTCAATTAAAGATGACAATGGTTTCAGTTCTGACAAGGCCACATTAGCAAATGATCCATGAGAGGCATGAGCACACACATGCAGGGACAGGAAATGGGTCAAATGGACCCAGAGAGAGAACAAGTGCATGCTAGAAGCCACAGAGAGCTCCAAAGCCAATCAACAGCGAATCTTTCTTTCCTCTCATCTCCACATGAGATGCAGATGAGAGGAAGAGAAGGGCTGGTGGAGAAAGAAAAGGTGGATGGAGAGGCAGAACTCAGGAGACTGACAGAGGGTTTTTAACTCACATGGATTTATAATCAAGAAGTGGGTGTGCATGTGTACAAAAACAGGCCAGAGTGGTAACTAAAACCCAAAAAGATTTAAGACAAATTAGTAAGAAAGAGAAAACAAAAAACATAAGTGCAAACGGCACATCAAGATGGCGAAGGAAGAGATACAGCTGTGGTCCAACTTTGACTTACAAAACATTTATGCTGACAGAAGTTTTTCTCTCTTTTTTTCACGGATTTGGGAGCGCAGGAAAACCTGATTGATGGCTTGCCTAGATACAAATAAGAAGTCAAATTGGCCCACATTTGTCACAAGTCTCCAAGCAGGAGCTGGGATCACTACCACGGCAGATCATCTAGGAAAATTCATCAGCCACGTTTTAAAGGAAGGAGGGCAACAGTGGGCCAGCAGCGCTTTGGGCACCAGCCATCAGCGACATTTGAAGCTTCTCCGAGCTACTTGTACAGCTTTGATCACAGGCTGTGGGAAAGAGATGGATGAAGAGTCCAGTGTTTGTCATTTGGTCTCAAACCTGCAGCCTCTGTAATGACCAGCAGGAGGCGACTGCCATATTTCCAAAAAAATAAGTTTATGTTGGACTAGTCTTTTGCATGCCCAAATGGGTTCACGTAGCCCATAGTTTTATGGGAAAATAGACATAATTTCAGATTTATTATGGCTGTGGCAGCACCTTGTGAATGTGCATTAAACCACGTCTTCAATCAGAAAACAAGCAGTGACTCTACCGTTAGATTCACAAGCCAGCAGATGTCCCAAAGCCCGAAATTTACATGCCTTTGAGACATTTTTTCATTGCTGAACCAAACTTATTGCTTTAAGTTTGAGGAATAAGTCAGTGAAGAGGTAACACACCTCTCTTTGAGAGCTCACACTTTCATACCAAAGAGTGGCAACGTAACCAGAAAGAAAAACCTCAGAGCCAACTGTTGCCACTTTCAGCAAACATTTCATCTGTGTCTCTAGGTTGCTTTGGTGAAACGGGCCAGCATTGTGAAGAAGCAAACCTGACCAGAGAGTGCAAACTTCATACAGAAATGAAGCTTTGAACAAACCTGGAAACAAGGCACAAAATCCAGTGAACCTGGTGAGGAAACTTTCCAAACAACGAACAGCTAAATATGTAATCAACATTAGTACATTTTGCAAATCTGTTTATTAAAAAAGAAACAAAAAACATGAGAATTAATCATACCAACTGCAGTAAAAACAAAATAAAGACATTGGGGAAGAATTGCAGTGATGTTTTAGTGGTATGCATCAATGCCACTTTGTTTGGTTTACTGCTGAGAGCGTTTGGCACAAAGCGCAATCGTCTGCGTTCATGCCCAAGAACTGTGGATGTGTGTTAATCAAGGGGGTGAGAGAGACCCATTCCTAACTTTGTGATGACACGCAGAAGCACACGGGCCTGCAGAGTAGATTTAAGGGGACTTGAAATGACAGTTACAGTCAATTGGGTTTTCATGCTTCTCTGGTTTTCCACTCCTGAGGAAGACTGAAGTGAAATGATGCAGTGATCCAGGATCCATTTGGCATCCAGCACCAGATATCTGGCCTCAGGTTTCACATTTAAGGTACTGGCTCTCTGGTCAGACTTAATCCAAAGCAGTCAGAACTCAGCGGGATAAACACTAAATGTGTTCATATCTAATGTCCTGTAACACTCAATATCTAATGAGTGTTTTACTCTGAGGTTGAAGAAATCAGTACAGCACTCTCTGAGCTGCAACCCGACACCTCCCGAGTCTCATTATTGCCCTTAAATGGTTGCTTACAATTCCCTTAAAATGTATCTAAAAAAAACACACCAAACAAAGCTGCATTCAAGCCCACTTAGTTTAAGAAGAGGCTGCTTTTTCTTCATTTGTGGTTCCCTAGAGTCATTCCATGCCAACATCTAACCCTCCCAGCCTAGGTTATGGAATATCATTACAAAAAGCTTTTATGTGGCACATGTACCTTGGACTTTCATGGGACTGGATTGAAATTGCTAACAAATACAACAAATTTGCTGTCTTTGCAGAGGTAGAAAACAGTGTCTTGATATGCAATTTGAAGCAAATAAAGTGGAAAATGAGCAATTGTTGAGGCTGAAGAAAGATGTTGAAAAAAACCAAGGCTGAAACTTCAGGGATTTAAGGACAAGTGTGGAAATCTGTAATTTTCTTTAAACTTTACCACACTCCAACCAAATCAATAACATGAACTGGGAAGCAAGTCAGCATGGAAGGACCCCCCCCCTTAAAAAGAAAAGTTTAATACCTTAAATGAAAATGAATCAGGGAGTTAACATTTCTGAAACCACAATAGTTTGGCAACTTTTTAAAATATATCTCATCATTAATGGCAGAATTTGAGAGTTTGAAAAATATGCTTGTTTGTCAAATATTGGTGGAGTAGTCAAGCTTAGCACAAAGAAAAAAACCTAGAAGTGATGCAAAACAAAATGTGATAATTGTTACAACATTTTCACAGTCTCCTTGGAAATGGAAATGATGAGGGACTGTTATCCAGCCAGAAGCAGTGCATTGCTGATGTCTGAATGGACACAAATGTTGAGCCGGGCAGACGGGGCTGAACATCTCCTTCCCCTGGTGCTCATCTTTGTGGTAAGCTAAGCCTGACTATGCACATTTCCCAAGTGGCTGGGCTTTACCTTTAAAAACCAAACCGAGGTTCACAAACATGCATAATTATCCACAAAACTTTGCAACTGCAAACCACGAAGGTAACAGAATATTTTGCACCACCCTGATAAAACAACACCATGCGTTCAGCGTGAACACGGAGTATGTTAGCGAAGCAACAGACAGGTTGTAAAATCTGGATGCAGCAGGCTTTGAAGTCGACACAAAAGACTGGTGTTGCTCATGAATGGCATCATACTGTCTTTGCAAAACAGTACATGCAACCCTTTGTCTCACAGCACTCGCACGGCGTATGAAACACACATAATACTCTGGCAAAAATAACAGCTGGATACATGTTTGACAATCTAGAAAAGAAGAGTGCTTGTGGTCACTACTTTTAGGGGCTATTCAAGTGTTGGTCTGGCAATATCAACCAAGCACACTCAGTTATTTCAAATATTGGCACCAGGTACAGTATATCTCACACACAAACACACCTAACTGCATATCTCATTGTAAAGCTTAAAAATGTCTTTCTTTTTAAAATCTCTTACTTAAAAAAAAAAACTAGGACAGAATAAAGGTAATTATTGTCCTTTTGTTAAGGTAGGATTACTCTGATAGTGCAAGACCTCATGTGGAAAGTACACGGTTCACTTATTTTATACCTAAAAATAACAGTATGTCAACTTTGTGATCTCCTCTGGGAAAGATGGAAGTCTCAAGGATATGTCAAGGTGTCAAGGTCCAACCCGAAATTTTCTCCAGGGTGGCTGGTGCACTGAAAATCCCCCAAATGATCAGATTCAAAGAGAGGCGGTATTTTGCAGCGAGCCTTGGCATCAGAAGAAGAAGAGAGAAAAAAAAAAGAGAAAAAAAAACGTGTAGTCCAGCGTGACTACTTCATTTGTTATTCTCAGTGGTTAGAGAGGCAGCCAAAATGTTTAGAGTCCTTTATTCCCAGTTGGCAGTGTCGTCTCAGAAGCTCTTGATTCCAAAGAGTTTCTCACAGGGCTGCAATCTTAACAGGGAATAAACATGTCTGCAAAAAATTCACTAGAAGCGCCATGGTTTCCTCACTGAAAAAGAAGTCTGAAAGGCTATTTCTCCACTGGTGAGTGTGAAAGTCCCCCTGCTCCTCCACTGCAGAGCTGAGAAGTCCTGAGCACCTTTGAAAGCACCGTGACTGGTTGGTCAGGCTTTAATTCTACTCCCATCGCCCATCGGCTGCGAACAACTGGGTTTCCCAGAAGTCGTCAATGGGCGTGTGTCTGTTGTGCGTCTGGTGCTTCCTGTGAGCGCTGCAGTGTGTAGGAGCGGGGGAAAGTGTTTGTCAGTCCATCTCCAGGTCCATCAGTTTGTTGCGTGAGCGTGGAGTGTGTGCTGTGTTGCGGCAGCAGCACTGGGCACAAACCAACCCCAAGATCAGGGAGAAAAGGCCAACCCCTAAAAAAACAAAAAACAAAAAACAAATATGGTAAGAATAAAAGATGTGTCCTTCTGTAACAACACACCTTAATTATACAGCTATTACTACTTTAACCAGTCAGGATGAGATGTACGTCGATGGATGGATCATACACCAAACCTGCAGCTGATAAAACCAATCCAGCTTTCCAATTGAGGTAAATCCATTACAGCGGCCTCCATTATTCCAGCTTCACTCTCCTATCATAACAACATTTCATGCTAATGGCAAGATTGGCAGTCACTGCCACCAAATAGCAGCATCAGTTCCAACTGAGACACATCTTATACTATTATTAAGCGTATCACCACTAATCAAATTCTGCCCCAAAACGTGAAAATGGGAGCATGGCAAACAGCAGTGGTGAGATAAATCAGCAAAAAAACTCTGAAATATAACTAGCGGCTGTTGTGTTTTTCTGCAGCCTTTGCTTAAATTCATACTTTTTTCCCAGGCTGTATTGATGTCAAAACAGATGGCTAACAGAGAATAACAGTTTTTAACTATTCACACCAAAAAGCATTGATCTAGATGTGCATGAAAGCTTTAAAAAGTTCTTGTATTCCTCAAATGCTATTCCTTTCAAATGTGCTTTTTTCCATGTTAGTTTTTATCTCTCCATCAATTTGCTATGCTGCTTATTTCTAGTTGGGTTTGGTTTGGTGGTTGGTTGTTACTGGCCCTCTCAGAATTCCAAATACCTGGCAAATCTAGATTTGATTAAATTTAATAGAGAATTAAAAAACATAGTCAAAACAAAACAAACAAACATGAAACATTACCCAGTGAGGCTGATGCACCATATAAGAGAGGTAGCTTTAGGGAGTCCCACACTATAATAGAGGGAAAAAGACATACATTTGTTGTTAAATTTCACAAAATTATCGCTTTTTTCTGCAGGGCCCTCCTTTACTTCATAATATTCTAAGTATAGAGCAGTGCAACAAGCTATGAAGCAGATTTGTGCGATGTGAAGTGGTTTTGAGTTAAGATTGAGGTTAAAAAAGAACAATCACCAGCAAATCTGACAGTGAGGAAGACTCGTCCTGATGTCAGGTCTCCAGCTTGAGTCCAGGCTGCTGTAGAGGCTGACAGGTACCAAGGAGTGGCAACACAGTGATACTCGCCACTGTCGCTGGAAAACACCGAACAAACACACACACACACACACACACGCATCATGTAAACATGCACTCTGAAGAAGGAGTGAAAGGCATTTAAGAGGCATGAGACATCTTTTTCTCCACTCACCTCTCCTGAGTGCCAAAAATGTTTAGCAGGTAGGTGTGTGTGTCTTTGCGCTCAATAGAAACGTCACTGGACGAGTTCCGGTCATTTTTCCTTACGACTCCGAAGCGATCGATGCTGACCACCTGGATTGTGGTCTGTCCGCCGCGCAGCCTGCTGAAAAACCAGCTCACCTCATACACCAGGTCATCTGAGACAAAAACAGAGACAAATTTAGAAAACTGCTGTGTGATTTATATCAACATTTATATCAATATGTAGCATGACTCCTACTGATTCAGCTATTCAGGTAAGATCTAAATATTTTACTTAAAGGTGACATGCATTTCATCAGAAGGACTTTTTGGGAGGTCCAGTAGAGGTTGAACAGACCAAATGTAAAAATACAGAAACCAGAACACATCTGCTAACCGAACATTAAACAGCTGCTTCGTCTCTTCCCAACGTGAGCAGATGAAAAAAGGCAGGGATGTATGCATGTAAAAGGATGACAGTGAGGACAAAAGAAAAGAAAACAGGAACACAAGTTTGAGAAAATCTGTGATAATAAATGCAATCTTTGGAGAGGGTGCAAGCAAGCTAATCATTTCCTAGAGAAAGAGGGAGGGAGGTACACGGAGAGTCTGAGAGAGACAGAAGCACAAGCTAGTCATTAGTCTGTCAGGGAGAGAGGGACTATTAGAACTGTACCTCCTACACACACACAGACGATAAAAACCCCACGGAGCCTGAGTCATTGTCTCTCATTTAGGAGACAAATAGAAGATCCACATGAAAAAAAAAAAAGAATAAAAGGAACATTTTCCAGAGATAATCGAAGAAAAATAAAAGACAAATGATGATGAAAAACAATTATGAGAAAGAGTGGAAGATGGAAAAATGAGAGGGAGGAAGAAAAAGTGGAGGAGAACGGATGGATGGAACATAATGAAGAGAAAAATAAAGAGTGGAGTGAACTCGCCCAGAATAATGAATCACATCTCAATTTTTCTCCCCTCTCTTCCATAATGGTTTTAATATTCAAGTGCTACATCATTAAAAGTCGGCGGTGGTAGTAGCAGCAGGAGCGTCGCTGGCCTCGGCCCAGCCGCCTCTCCATGTGACACTCATTAGCTGTCGCCATTCGTGCTCACAAGTGAGTGAAACGTTTTCCGTCGGCCCGGTCCTAAAATGATGCCCACCTTTTGACTTTCTCTCAGGGTGGACCATCACATCAAGGCACAAATAAAATTCCATTAGAGGATGTTCATGCCCTCATTTTGGATGCAGTCCTGCACTTCTCCAGCTGCTGCTCCATCAGCTGTGTTGATGAGCAAATCTGCACAGAACCTGCACCAACCAGCCACTGGGAGCAAATAGCTACCTTTTATTCCCTTCCTGCTCTGATAATTAGCTGGAAGGACCCACTGAAGTTGAGAGCTTTTAAGCCGGTATGTGGGCCCGTTTCAGCCCGCTCCCCCTGCCCGGCTCAGCATCCAGCTATGTACTGCCAATTATCACCGACATTCCCAAAAAAGTTGCGACGCAGTATAAAATAGATTGAATGTGCTGTAGGAACATGGAACATTCAAAGCCTTCCCCGATCCACTCTGAACAACATCCTGAAACCAAAATTCTGCCAGCCTTCACTCAACCTCGACTAAGATCATGTTATTGACCCGGAAAGTGTTTCTCCAGCTGAATCTTTTCAGTGACGCCAACATTTGAGAGTTTTAATTCCCTCAACAACTTTGAGATTACTAGAAAAAGAAAAAGAAAAAAAAAGATAAAAATGGCAGTTTAGTATTAAGGCTGCAACCAAGCCGACCCACCTTCATCTTGCTTTTAGACTTGTGCTTTCTTTCATGACCACATCAAATTTTACAGGTTAATTTTCAACTTCTTAAATTTAGTTTGTGTTTCCAACTCACATATTATCAAGCTTTACTGTACCTAAGAATATTTTTTCTGCAGATTCAGTTGGTGTTCATCTATACATTTTTCTTCCTTGAACATTTAAAACACTCCTGCTTTCCGTTGTTAGAATGATTCTCTTTAAGCTCAGTAATTTTAAGGAGGAGAAGATCAAGTGTTCCAATTCAAGTTCATGATCTCTCTCTCCCTCTCTCTTAAGACCAAATCCATCACTTCCTGTTAGAGGACGAGTGGTCACACTGGACACCAGGATGTAATTTTGGCAAATCAGCTTTATGTGCTTTTCATTCAGTGCAGAGACATCAGTCGTTTCCATTTAGTGAGATGATAAAGATACAATTATAAAATTGTAGCAGTTAAACAGAGGATTTAAATAGCCCACGCTGATCTGCATTACTCATCATCATAAAAAACACAGCTTAAATTATTAAATGCATATAATTGGCCGGCGATGATGGTAACGCTGGTGATGGAGATGCATCAGGACAGCACAGAGAGGGGCACCGCTGTCCTCCACAAAGGCAAGTAGCCAAGCGCTCCATCCCACCAAAGAGAAGCAAAGAGGAGGTGACACTAAGAGATGGGGACAGTGGGGTCAACTGACCACACACACACAGACACACACATACACACACGCTTGCAGACTTGCTGACTTGATTTGAATACAGAGAGTTTTGACACTATGAGAAAAGGCATCCTTTAGATAGCCAAGATGTTTCCTCACAGCAACACTTTTACATAAAGCTACAGAAAGAGTTTATAAAGTGACGCAAGAATAATGTGAAGCTGTGATTACTTTCACCCTAAAAACAAAGCCTTTTTGCAAGTGACTATTTGAGCAATTAATCATATAGATTTTAAGCATATATGCAAACCTGGCTCATAGTTTTCACAGGTTTTTGTTTCATCAGCGTTACGGGTTAGTTTGTGAGATTAAGATTTAAGAGAATGCTGCTGAAAACATTTTGTGATGCTTGTTTTTATATGACCAAAGAACTAATAAGAACTGATTCTTTGGCATCTTTAGAGAAAAACCCAGTACAAAAATGGCCACAGACTGTTTACAGTAAAAGCTTGTGCACCCTGGTGCCCTCTCCAGTGCTGACAGGACCTAAACTGTAGCGAACAATGTTGAGAGCACATTTACTGTGAATAACAAGTGTTTCGACATATTGTCCCCTTGAAGTCGCCTCAAAGTAAGCCGATCCTCCACTGAGACACTCTCCCACATAGGCGTGGTGACACACAGGGAGGACCCTTCCCTCGAACCCGACACATCTATCAGTCAGGGCTCCCTCCAGTATGGACTTCAGTGAAACACAAACTGAGTTATTTTATAAGATCAATGATGTACGATAGTAAAAATGGTCTCTCTGGATGTGCACTAAAACTGACCTGATGCAACACTCCCATCTTGAAGGAAGGAGAAAAACAAAGATGTAAGGATGAAACCTTCAAATTGTGAACAAGTCAATAATTCAACTGATATACAATTCAGAATATGGAATAGGATTTATTTAAATCTAAGAATTTTATTTATGATGAATATTTGTTTTTTCTATGAAATGCCAAAAATGGTGGGAAAAAATCTGAAAAAGTTCATAACAAATGTCATTGGTGTATGTTTTTAGTAGTGTACATTTAGGGGTAGATATGAAACCTCACTTCTCTTTTAGTTATATGTGTGTGTGTGTGTGTGTGTGAGTGTGTGTGAGGCATCTGCTAAAGTGTAATGATATCTGGCACTTTTGAGCTGCCCATTCAGACTTCAGGTTTGATGGAAATGCATTTTTTGTGAAAAGGACAATGTTTGAAAACCTCCTGAAACCATTCCATAGTGCTGGTGCTTCGATGTACTAATCATTTAACTGCCTGTGTGACAGCCATAAGATGTGCATGTCTGACATTTCAATAACACCAGGCTAGTTTCTGACATTGCCGACTGTGATCAAAGACACATTTTGCATAATTCCACAGGACTGACGTGTGAACTCCAGTCGCTTGTTTCAGCAACGACACCAATATTTGAGGGATGATGCTATAATTAGAAAGCCTCACAGTTAGAGTCCACCCTCTACTTTCTTTGTTCTTAATGGCAGAGCGGACAGAGAATGAGGGGAGGGGAGGGGATTTGATATACTTAGTGACTGAGGAGATTATTTCGTTTAATACACAGCCGCAAATCAACTGCAAGAGCCACATCTCAAGCTGGGTCTTTGTAGCCTCTCGAGAAACACCCCCGCCCTCCTTCTCACGGGAGGTACAACATCTGATCTGCCACCAGCTGTTCCACTGCTCAGTCAAGACTTTTGCTGTCCCTGCATTCAGACCTTCCTAGCCCTCCCCGCTCTTTGAACTTCTGAACTTCATGCGCAGCAGTCACTTGATAAGGTACCAGCTCGCTGTTCCCACCGCCTTACAGCAGGCCGGGAAACTGCCCAGAGCAGAGCAGCCAGTGCAAACAGAGAGGTGAGCGTGTGTCGCCACATAAACGCGGGCCAACGACTATGCCCTTATTTTCTTTAGGCCGGCTGCAAATTCTAATTCAAAGAAAAAAAAAAGGAGAAAAAAAAGACTAAAACGTGAAATGAGACACTGACAAATGTGGGACAATCTGGCCATGACGAGTAATCACTGATCCACAGTAAAATGTGATCCATGTCAACATAAAAGGCTTCAGTGTGCATAGAAAAAAAAAAAAGAAGATGCTTTCTGGATCGTCAAACAGCATTTGAATGTCTCCCTGAAGTCCTCATTTCTCAGCCTTCTCACAACTACTTCCATCACTTTTCGTGCATGCAACTCAGCGCAACAGAGGGGAAAAACCCAAAAAATAAAAAAAAGGCTTTGAGGGAGAGCTGGTCCAGAAACATGTGGCGTTATCTGAGCATGTTTCTGTAAAAAACCCAGCAAGACGCAGATGAAGACAGCCGGCCTCTTGTGCCATGTACAAAGTACAAAACACTTCTGCCTTTAGAGGTGCTGACACGAGCCGGCTGATTTTCACCTCAACTGCTGCCTGTAAACTGGGCAAAGGACCTGTGCAGTCGGCCTGATTTATCTGCAATGCACAGTTCAAATCTTGATAAAACCTGCAACCCTTTCCGGTGCAGAATGTTCAGGCAGAACAGGGCGCTTGCCCTGTTGACTGGATAGCAGAGGGGAAACTACGGAGCATCTCTAATAGAATATCTGGCTCTCGTTTGTGCTAATAAAACTAAAATGGCTGTCGGTGGAAATGAAGACAGTCTGATTGGATTTCTCTGAATTAATCCC